GGTATGCTCTCCCTGAATCGGTCATCTCTGCAACGACACTAACAGTATTTAAAAGACGGTTGAACGATGCATTCATCCACTTACACTTTGGTACTTAACACTACGACTCTATCCTACAGCTGGAGTTTACCGTGGAATTATTTGATGTTAACTGCGGGTGTTGTGAATCTAAGCGGATTGCAGGACTAGGGCAGAGCAAACGATAAGCCTATTTTCATATTTAAAGTTCTAACTGTTTTACTATCCTTATTGCTATGTCGATATTCCCACCAACTATCCAACTGGACTTGTAAAGCAATGCTTCTTATGCCGTATAAATTCATTGTTCACGCTAAATTCCATATTTCATGCATTGGATTATCGATTGTGCCTTTTCGGCGTTTTCGTGAAATCCAACATGATTTCGTTCAAATTTTGGGTATAAATTGCCGAAACGAGATAAAACCGGTGAAGGCGGAGCAGAATCGCAAACCGTAGAGTGAATCATTCTGTTGAGAGCAGATTTTTGTGTTTGGTCCGACAAGCTTACTCGAAACACCTCCAGGTTTCAGATCAGCTTTCCTGGTCGTCCCGTGCAAACTCACCGGCACGCAGTCTCGCAGTTACCAGCAGCATAGCCGCACGTGACGCTAATATTTCACCAGTGTCGTATTCTACAGGCACAGATGTCCCAGTGTGTGAAGGCCTGTGTACTGAGGACACTTGAAAAGCACAAGGAAAGAAAAGGCAGAATAATGAAATGATTTCACCCGATGCAAATCAACGACAGTTCAGACCAGGTGAAGTGCAAGAAAATCCTCGTCCTGCAAGGGCAACTTTGGCCGATCGGAGCCGTTTAAACCTCGTGAACTGCCACGCGCTTGAGTCCAGTGATCCAACTCCTCAGATACGCCACGATCATAACGTCGAGTGTTGACAGAGACGAATTAACAGACTGCTCAACATGAAGGAGGACGGGTTGTAAGTGAAGCAAAGTGCCCGTCTTGAAAAGAAAGATGATCAACAAAGTCGACCAATGAGAATCACCTTTGTGGAAGAAGCCAGTCCCAGGCTTATCTATTCCCAATTAAACAGGTTAAACAGTCTAAAACTCCATGTTCTTCCACACATGGATCCGATGGATCGAGAACGACTCCAGTCTGCCATCATTGAACTAGAGACGAAATTGTGATGGGGAAACGAATCTTTAAATCGTAAATTTTCGCTTTGTTTACAAGATTTCACGAGTCAGCATAAACAGGTCGCTCACACTTCAAGCACGCCTGGAGGTTCCTGCTGCGTCCGGCGTGTAGCCTTTACCAACATTTGCAGTCTTAAGAACTCGCGCGATGAACTCTCTCGTTTCGTGGCATCTGAGCGGCCAGATATAATAGGAATCGCAGAGACGTGGCTGAATTCTGTGGTGATAGTCCAGGAACTCAAACTCTGTGGCTACTCATGTTCCTGCTGCGATAAACTATTGACTGCCCGCTATGGGGTCTTGCTCTACACCCGGTCCTTGTGATCGTCCACCGAAGCGATGATGGTCTGTGTGAGCAGCTATGGTGTTCGATTGACTTCGGACGCGGGAAGCTGCTCGTGGGTGCATTTTATCGCAGTCCTCTGAGCTGTTGTTTGGATTGGCTGTCGCATATCCGAAACCACGAGTGGTCTCATTTTCAACTCATGTGGGATTTTAATTGTCCGCGGATACGCTGGCCTGAAGTGAAACTTATACTAGAATATTGTGAGTCGAAACAATGTTCGTGTACTTGGTACTTGAAATTGGAGCCGCGCGACACATATAGCAGACAACTGGAGTAACGCCGCGATCAACTCCGTCATGTCTGGACTTGTTGTTAACAAGCTATGAACAACATGTGTGGGACCTTCAGGTCCTGGAGCCCCTAGCAGCAATAGTTCACAGTGCTTATAGTCAGTATGCATCTATCTTTAGCGTATTTCGGTCCGCTGGAGCCATATTACAACTACTGGTAACTAATTTCTACCGGTTTAACTGAAGCCAAGTGCAAAGTAGGTTGATCTCTGCCGCAAACTACACCTATGAAATACAGTTGGGCTATTTTTGGAGAAAGACTGCCATTACTGTGTTCGCAGTTTGTACCACTGAAGTGTCGGGGAGTTGGACCAGTCAAACCGCATTGGTTTGACAATAGTTATGATAAACTTGCTCGGCAGCGGCGAGCATTGCGGGAAAAATTTTACTCTCTAGCTACTCCGATGATTGGGAGTCGCACAAGAAACAGCGAAATATTGGCAATACTGCAAAAACAAGCAAGCGCCGAAAGTTAGGACATCAGCTCGCAACCGCTACAAAGATAGCTCTGAAAAGAATGTTTGCTTGCATGAGTCGGTGTCTTAAACCAAATGGTGATCTGCTAGTGTCAGGGTGATCCAACGGACAGTCCATAACCTCTAACGCTGAGCGTGCTTCCACCTTGGAGAAACACTTTGCTTCCCTGTTTGCAAAGGACCACGTGTCTGTACCGGATTGACGTGTACCACGTTTACCTAACTCGACAGTCTTGTTTGCTGTGTTGAAGAGGTGCATCAACTACCCACCAACCTTGACGACACCAAACCTGCTTGACCTGATGTACTCCACCTACTGATTCTCAAGTCCCTATCGGCCATCATCTCACCCGCTGTGTATGACTTCCTCAACAGATCACTATCCGAAGTGTAATTGCCGAGCGAATGGAAGTGCTCAGTAGTTAAGCCGATTCCGAAAAACGCTGACGCCAGCAAACTGGACAAATACGGGCCGATTTGTCTGAGACAAGTTATGGCCAAGAATGCTAAGAAGATCCTGAAGAAGGGCCTACTACAGCTGCTCCATTCAAAAGATGTACTGAAGCCTGCAAAGCAAGTTTTTCTCCTAGACCGCTCACGCATTTCCAACCTGCTGATGGCGATGCATGAATGGTTGTAGGCAGTAAACCAGGGGAAGTCAGTCAAAAACTAATTTACATTGATTTCAGTAAAGCGTTTGACAAGATAGGCCATGTGGTCCTCCTCCTCCGCTACAGATTCGCAGCGCGTGGTTCCAGAACTTTCTCGTTAGGCGATAGTGGAGGGTGCAGATCGACGGCCATCTAACTGACTGGTATCCCTCGACTAGTGGAGTACCTCAAGGCACGGTGCTGGGACTCACTCTGTTACTATTCCACATCAACCATTTAACTCAGCTTCTTCCTTCGCCGTGTGCCCTGTTTGCTGATGACCTAAAGAGTTGGAGAGAAATTAACACCCCAGACGATTGCAGCTTACTTCATCACAACCTCAACAGCATCTTCATGTGCTCTGTGGAAGTCCGACTCCCGGTCAGCCCATCTACGTCGGTATTTCTGAGCCTGGGGAAGGGTGGTATTGGCCGAATTTACACCATTGAAGGCCAACCGTTGCATTCCACACCCCGTGAAGGACCTGGTTTAACTCTTGCGCTTCGATTTGAATTCTGTTGACAACACGAACGGACTATTTCGTAAAGGACTACGCACGTATTGGGTGCTCAAACGTAGCTTCTGTACTTGGTCTTTAGATGTCGCCACTCGCCTCTTCTCTTCCATCATAAAACAAATACTGGAGTACGGCTCACTTGCCTACTGCCCAATCACCCGAGGCGAGGCACAGAAGATCGAACGAGTTTAACCCGTCAGTACCAGGCTCATTCCGTGTTTACGCGAATTTGCGTACGAAAACCGATGGCAGGAACTCGGACTCTACACCTTGTCCCATCGTCGGGAGCGAGTCGATCTCATATTGACCCGCTGCTGACTTCCCCATGCTGAAGCCATTGCATTATTTGCGGACCCCATGCAACACACGCGGACACCAATACAAGCTCGTGGTGCTGGATATATAACGATTACCCCAACCCCTGTGATTCGAAAGGAGAGTGATAAATGTTTGGAACAATCTGCCAAGACAAGTCGTGGAGGATAAATCTGTGCAGTGGTTCAAAAGGCCGTTGGATTTCCGTTTCAACAACATTCGATTCAGCGAACTATTGCACACCAGCAATGACGTCTTGCATTTGTGAACCCTGTTAAACTGTTAGTCAGAGATTCCAAAATGCTACATCCTAACTAGTTGAACGATTCGGTTATCAAGGAGTGCAGAAACCTTTTTTAGAATTTTCGACCATATTGCAATGGAGTTGTACAGATTTATATTTCTACTTGCTCCCACATACAGTATTTCGAATGCAGTATTCGTACAAGCCCTCCTCTTGGTTCTGACACGCAACAGTTCCCCCATGTCGGACGCCGGCAGCGTACCGTTGACTGCGAGGCCTGCGCCAAGTAAACCGATCTAGGATTTTATCTGGTTTATTGGTCTCGTTCAAACGCCTATGCATCAAAACCCTTCAACCTAGCTCTCGGTAGCATAATATGTTGCCTTATGCTTTGTCATAATTGTGATAGCTTAATGATGATTCTTGAGAAAGTTATTCTCGCTAAATGCACTTGTTTTTTAAGCATGACCGTAAATCATGGGTTGTCTTTTACTGACGAGGTTGAAATTTTGCAAAGTTGTGAAAGGTAGGATTTGAACTAAATTTTCGATGGTGATTCGTCACATTTACGTGGTCAAAACCATTTACAGAGGAAAGTACTGAACGGCAGTTTTATACTTCTGGGAATCTTCAACAATGTACCTTCCGTCTGCCCCCAATTGAATCGAATGATCGTCCTTGAAGAGTATACTATCATAAGAGTACAGTCTCCTGAGGTCTAAAGATTAGAAAATATGGTCATAAAAGCGAGTTGGCTAAACAGGTATGATGTAAATAATCCCTATAGTCAATGCTAAAACAACTGAAAATCTCTTTGAGAAAATTTAGACATTTGATGACAACATCGTCTCCACTGCATGTCCGCTCACCGGAAAAAGCTAACAATCTGACTTTCGATGCTCAACTCGTTCAGCCTACAAAGAAAGCATTTGTGGTACAATTCGTTTTCAACCTACGCGCATTGACCTTCGTCTATGTTCAGTTTTCAGATACTCCGAAATACGCCGATCCAGCATTATCGGAGAATCTCATCCCGGCACTCAAGTACAACAAGGATGTAAGTGCCCACGTGGTTGCGTGCTGTTGTGAAAATGGAATAAAAAGCAACATGTGTAAAAGTCTGTCCTAATGCAGAGGAAACACATTTAAACCCGCTCATATTGTAGTTGATAAGACGCGTTTCTTTTTAATGCTTCTTTCTAGCGATTGATAAAAAGGTTTCAAGATTTCACTCCTAACGGGACCGCCTCGTTCGAACGAGCGCTGACAGAAGCTTTCAACTTGCTCAACAAAGTAAGCGTATCCAACATTTTCACGACTGTTTCTTGTTGATTGTCAGACTTTCAAATATTTGGTCACACAGACCATTCCCTAGCTGTTTTGGAGGCTTTAATTGATTATGATGCACTATTTTGGACGCAACGAAAACTACAGTGAACTACATTGCCGGCGAAGCACCAGCTGAATGCCTGAGATCAAACCAGTAGCTTGATAAAATGTCACTCTGAGGGATCCACGGTTCCACCGTCGTGAATCTAAACGTTGTTAAAAGATTCTAAGAATTTCTAAGCTTAGCTAGTCTAGTAAAGACTAACGGATGACGTCAGTCTCTCAACTGTAAAGCGAACCCAATAACTGTATCTTCTGGTCAAACTTGGGGGTGGTCATTGGCTCCTTTCGTATGCGAACAAAAACGAGAACAAGACTTTGCACACTACTGATATAAGCCGATTGTGTTACTCAAAGTTGAACCAAGCCGTAAGCAATCGATAACCAGTAAGAATTTGATGCTGGTGACTATAGGACCATTAGGCTAAATAGCACTCACTGCGAGACCTACTGCGGCACAGTCACTTAAGACGAACATCAATAATCGGTATAAAAAAACCGAGGTAAGAAATCGAATGCGTAGTCAATAAGGTGTTACCTGGCTTCGGGTGAAAATACCAAGATTGTACTTGGTATTTAGGGAAAGCCGACGCCACCATGAGGGCCAAGTACACTAGAACACCGTTGAGAGTTTTGTGATACTAGATGGTGAAATGTGTAAATCCCGCTTATTTACATAATCACCAGGGCCGCCTGTATTCAAAACACTCTATAAGCTCCGATGGTTATTTCAATGGTGCAAGATCGCTTAACCCATCTATCCTCTTCTAACATACGTCTATATGACGGAACAGCTAACTAGCCAGATTTAGTTGTGTTGAATTTAATTTACTCATAAAACACCATGAGACACCCGAAATTTGCATGCGATAAAGTTGAACTCAAACAAAACTCATTTCCTTGCTATTGCTCCAGTAAACACATAAGTGAAAAGTTTTGTGATGTGTCCGGGTACCGGTCTCAGGAGCATGTGTGTCGTTGGTTTGCTTGCCAACCGTATTCTTCCGTACGGTTTTAGACCCTTTAGTTGATAAGCCCTTGCACATATACCAGCTAGGCGAATGGTGGGCGGTTAAACTGTCTCTACATCAGTGAAACATGGAAGACGACGAACGACGGAAATAACACTGGCAGACGCATCGGTCGAAACGTTAACGACATGCATTCTAACGATTTAATTGGCCAACGGCAAGCGACTAATCAAATTCTAAGAGAGTCTAACCAGATAAGTAAGTGAGGGCTCGGTAGAGTGATGTTTTTTGGGTTTGCCTGTGGTCAGTGTCATTTTTCGCATGGTTAACCGTGCCAGTTGCCCAGGGCGCTTAACTTATTGTAATAAAACTCTCCCGTAGCGTAAGTCAAATAAGTGCTATCCAATATATCTCTTTGTGGCTAATCTCCATGATTGATTCATCCTATGAGGTCAATGCCGGGTGATGGAACTGTATGCCTGAGTCCGTAGGAAAATCCACAATAAATTATACCTTATGAAGCAATTACGAAGTTCTTCCTTACTTGGCATGTGTCAAATTGATCCAGAGACCAATGTGAGTTTGCTTGACGTGCAGCCTGTCTTCACCAACATACCACTGAATGAAACTGTGGACTACCTGTGTGAGTTTATCTCAGAACACAGTATGCAACGCAGGTTCCCAGTGAAGTGCTGGGACAACGCATGTTTCGTTGTGCACACAAAATAGTACGTGTTACTTTCAAAGAGAAGCATATCAGCTGATAGACGGTGTGGCGATGAACAGTCAATTAAGCTTATTGCTCGCAAGACTGAAGAGAAGATAGCGGATTTCATAGACTTGGTAACCGTGTTTAACCGTTCTGTGGACTATATAATCTAAATCATAGAGTCGGGTGGGGATATCGCGTATGCGACCAAAACACTCAACAGTATGCATCCGAAACTAGAGTAACTTGTTACGTTAAGCAAGATGACAGCCTACTGTATCAAGATAGGCTGATCAAGCGACAGCCAGATTGTGTGGTCCAATGGTATATATACCGAAAGCAGGCTGGACAACTTTGTACCCGCACCGTAAGAGCTTCGGTCGCATACAGCATGACGCTGCCTTATAAAGTGAAGTCCATTCGAGTTAAAATAAGCTTTAGGTGCCAATATGAGCACATTTCCAGCATTTCACAGAAACAACTACAGATGGGTTAAAATGATATCATCAGTATTTTAAATCAGTACGAATAAAAAAGGGAACCCCGTATACATGTGTCACTAGAATAAACGGTCCGGTGGCAGGACAGAATCCAGAGACAAGACGAGCTTTCACTTAACAACAATTACATCTTGCTTGAAGAAAACATCCGGTTTGTGTTCCGTTGCGATAACAGCGTCGGGGACCAGCTTTCCAACCAGAAAGGCGCATTCCTACTTTGCTAAAACGTTTCTGACTATTGATTGTGCACAATGCGCAGTATATTGAGGTTTACACAAAAATCGATAAAGGACAGCACTGGGACGCTTGAAATTAGTATAACTGAAGACAGTGTAAAAATATGCTGAGAAATCCTAGGTATCCGAAGCAGAAATACTAAAAGCGGTGTTCGAGTGAAAGGTCAACGGCCGCTTAAAAAGCATATGTTTTGCAACCCTGAAGTCCTAGAATCAGAGAGACATGCTTTTCGGCACACTACAGTCCAGCGGTTATTCCTTGCCATTCATAAAACGCTTCAGTGAAAGCCAAGCCAGATCAAGCGCCAGTGGTACAAATAGAGCAGATCTTTACTAAGCTACCGTTTGAAGGTAAGCATATAATGAAATGGACGCGAAACGGATAAGCGCCCTACTGAAAAGTACACACGATGTGACAGGACCACGTTTGCACTTGCCTACAAGACCCTTGCTTGCTCGAGTAAGACACCGACGATGAGACAAAACACCTTCCGTTGATTATGCAAACCTACCTGGGGCTGTGAAGAATTGTGTTGAGCGTGCCGACCAAAGTTTAAGTGGGAATTCGGTTTGAGAAATTTAAAGCCGGTAGTTCTCTTTAACAGTTTGAAAGCAGAGTAATAAGACGAGAGCTGGTAGATGCATGCATTTCTTGTTGTCTTTTCGGTACCATTACCAATATCCGATAAGCATATTTATAGCTAACATACGATATGACTAGTCACGCCAAAGGTACAGAGTGAATGACGGGTTTAGCTTCTAGCTCCAGGGCAGCATTAGGCTGACAAGTAATTGTTTTTGAACGCATAAGACTGGCTTCATCCGGCTTATCGCGACCGCCTCAGCAAACCGAAGAAAGCGAGGATTAGCGTGACGCAACACCACTTTGAGCACTGAGCTGAGTTTTATCCGATGGCCTGATACCAGTCGGTGTTTACCTATCAAGGTAGCTGCCGCCTACGCAAGCACTGTTGTTGAGGGAAGTAGGGGTTCTTGGAAACTTAGCGCAAAACCCATATCGACACGTTATCCTTCTTGCGGGAACTCAGTCCTATCAGTTCTGCCTATGTGGCTGGCTCCGCGGTTACACACGAATTGGTATGCACCTTAAGATTTGGCCCTGATAGGCTGAGAATCCTTCATTGAGTGGAAGGGAGAACTTCCGGGTTCGGTTGATTCCAATAATTTGGACAGCGTCGTAAGTTCCTTACGTGGCCGAGAAGATGCGCTTAGTCGTCTGCGTGTTGAAATCATTTTTCAAAGGTGACTCAACATAAAGCTTCTTCCTGACTGCCATGTGCACCAATTATATCCGCCGTCGAATTTGACTGTTTTTCCATAAATCGTCGAGGAAAACCAAAGATAGCCACTCTAGTGTGTTCACACACGGTTATTCGTCAGCTTAAGTCTGCGCTAGACGTCGAGACTAAACTTCCGTCATTCACTCTGCACCTTAGGCTGGTCGAAGGGCCGGGACCCTGGTTCGCTTGCCAGTACAAAAAGCAGGACACTCGTTAGCCGAAAGCCTGTGAAGTCCTCACATCTTGACATGACCACACCAAATGTTAGCTATCAATATGCATTTAGGCCATCAGTAATGGTACTGAGGAGTCAATAAGAAATGCATGCATCTACCAACTTTCATCTTCTTACTGAGTTTTTCACAGCTTAACTGTCCGAACGGGTGAGCACATTCCTACGTGCTAACGCATCCAACTAAAATTTATGAAGACGGGATCGGGTAAATCGGCGGAGTTCCCTCGGCATTTACAAGGCATCTGCCGAGCACCGGCCAACAAGTCAATTCCTATGAATTATTCGTCGTCATGATCCGCAATCAGATGCCCCAAGTCCTCAGGCTGTTAGAAGTCCTCGATATTGCTCGAGACGAATTGCAACTCTGTCTACATAAACAGCTACGGTAACTAAAAGGTTACCAAGGTAGGACGTAGTTCCCTGATTGACCACTGGCTGGTCACCAACCGGCTTCCTCATTCTTTCTGTACTCTTGATCCTCAGTTATATGTTTGCTATTGATGAACATACGCGAAATAGTTGAATGCTCTCACTACTTTGGCCTTCTGAATTTACAAGTTGGAATAAGTAACGGCATTTCCTGTTTAGAATTAAGAGCTTACTGGCTTGCTTGGGTGTAGGCCAACAACAGCGTTATTCCGACCCAGAAGAAAAGATATCATGGGGAGTTGAGAAATCGTATGGTGTTAAGTACATAACAAAATATTCTAGTTTCTTAAGAACTTTTCTGAAGGAATAAGATGAAAACTAACAATCACAGCCAGGCTCAGTGCAGCAGCCGCGGCTGCCTCCAACAAGAAAGCGCTGGATGGCCGTCCCACCATACTGGATGCAACGGTACTAGGCATTCTCCCTTGGTTTTTCGTGGTCCAAGCCGTGGCCATCCAAAATACAGCCGGCAGCCTATGTCGCTAAAGCTTACTCCGACTTCCTTCGCAGTACAAGCAGCACAAGTTAGGAATTCTGTTCGATATGGTGACTCGTCCGTCCAAAAGAACGCTACTGCTTCACCCGAAGTCCAACTTTTACTTTGTGAAGCCAGCACTCAGCCAATGAAATTAGCCAGTGCATGGCATTATTAGATTAATCCATACGTTTTCACAAATTATGTTAGGAACTTCACTAAGGAGTGACGCGCAAAATCGTGCAAATCTTGGACACCGCTCATAAATTTTGTCTTGGTGGGCGGAAATTACCGAGTGTACAAGTTCAGTTCTGAGTAGGTTCGTTAGGTCAGCCATCGTCGACAAAGCCACCATAGACAGCACTTCATCGTATAAGGTTAGTAACAAGTTCAGAATTGTTTTAGAGTATCCAAGTTTGCCCGTCACACCAGTACGCAATAATCCCGCCGGCTGACTCAAAAATATAATCATATTAACATGACAATGCATCTACTGTCAGAGTAGTAGTGAGTGTGGATCAACCAAGACCTATAAAGTTATCGAGCTTCAACCGTCCTGGAGAGCAACTAGGGGAGAAGGTTAGTTCAAATTTACACACAGATACCTTCGCGAGAAGGATGACAGAACTATACTGCGGTTTAATATCGTCATCATCGTCGCTGGTGCAAATCCTAGAAATTGTTAATTGCCACAGTTAGGGTGAGCTGTGCCTCAGGTTAACGCATATATCGTTAACAAAAGGTCATCTTATTTTTCAGCATCTGGCGTGTGTGCCATTCGAAGTGGATTGTGATGGCAAATTTGCTGTCACCGGCTCGAAATATAACTGCTAGACAATGCGCCGAATGCCCAAAAAGCCGCGTAAGTCTATGATAAGACAGCTCATCATCCGCTGCAGCATGTCACTTTCCGTCATAATGTAGTGTCGCGGAAGGTAACGAACATGCAGAAGGTTAGAAAGCCACAAGAACAAGAGGACACGAAAACGTGCGCAGATATGATGGACTAGATCAGCCGGTGCAACGCAAGCCCCACAGCACAAGCGAAGAGCGGACCACGAGCCACGGAATGTAGCGAGTCAGCCAAGAGAACAAAGAAGGTATTTGTCGAAAGGCCAATAAATCGGACATAAATGCCTTTGTTGGTGCATCCAGATGTAACCCCAAGCCGAGTAACGCAACCGAGATCAAGCAAATCAAGAGCCTTAGAATAGCACTAGGTTGGTCAGAATGCGTTGCGAAAGCAAAGATACGGGGTCAGACAGGTAACCAAACCCACCAAAGTTGAGGAGAAAAGACGCCCTAATGTGACATGTAATAATTCCCCATTTATGTTGCGTTGTGGGACGGAAACTTGACCGATATATGCGCGCGTACGTAAAAGCTTGGTTATTCGTGGTCGGATGCAATAAACATTGTGCTTTCTTGCTGCTTCGTCCGTGCTTTAATACCAGTAGAAAAGTTAACTAAATATCGGTGACCTTGGAGGAAAATTGGTTGCATCAGTTCCAGTATGCTATATTATTCAAACTGTTAGCAAAGAACAGTGATAATGCTATTGCTATCAAGGTTGCAGACAATTCTAAAACAGCAGCCTGCTATTTTTACACTCCAAAATAAATTTCTTTTACAGACCGAGGTGTATCGACCAGATGCAAAACACTGTAATCAACTACTGATGTTCATCACTGATAGCGTACCAGCATCCTACAAAGACATATTTGAAAAATACAATCCTGAGGTAAGTTTGTTTGTTTATACGGTGCGCAAACTCCACTCTCTATATCTCATAAGCCGCCCGACTCTACTATATTTGATTACAACGAACATCCCATGTTTGACTTGAGTTCACTGATATCCAGACGTATAGTATAATTTGCGTTTCAGAAAAACGTTCGCGTATTCGTCTTCTTGCTTGGCCAACACTCCTACGCCGAGCCGTATGTGGGTGAGCTGGCTTGCTTTAACCGAGGTGAGTTTATGGCCTATCTGTGTGAAAATTGAGTTCGCAGGCGAATGACCAACTGTCTTGTTTTATTTTCGGATATGATAGAATTGTTCCTTACTTATTTGTTTGTTGGGAGTTACTCAGGGTAAGTTAGGTTTGAAACTGGGCGCTGTCCACTAAGTAAAAACATGGACATGATTTCATGGATTCGAAATTAGCAACTTTGTCTGTGACTGCTTTTAAGTTTAAACGTACTAAACCCCTGCCAATAACTACGGATTACTATTTAATGCTATCGTATTTAATATGGCAGCAAGGCGCATAAATCGGTTACCTACCCACAATCGACGTCAACGTTGTTCTGTGGGTTCATCTATACAGACGATATCTGTTATAAAAATTAAGACTAGATATATATCTTCATTGCAGCATTATATAGTATATTATAGTATGGCAGCCAGCGATGACTTGGTCAAGTTGAATGAAGGCCCTCACTTCAAAGCTTTGGGTCCGAAGGATGATGAACAGTTTGTCTGGGTCCACTAGTTAATATGCCTTAGAGCTGACCTAAATAACCTTTGCATTGTGAGTTTCTTCGTCCATCATGCTCCCGCTTAGCCTCCCCATCCAACCACAGTCTCATTCCTGAAGCATACTATAATATTGTTTGTGGCACAACAGCCCGCTGCTAGCGCTCTCAGGGACGAGGTCTATGCGTTATCGGTGGATCAGCTGGTGCACATGTGTTACATGTTTTTATTATTGAATTCTAAAGTATTGCGGCATAATATCTGTGGTGTTCTCCACCTCTAGCTAACGGGTATAAGGAGGATGTATAGTAAAGCACAGTCTTCCTCGGCCCGGGCAACCGGGAAGATTTTGCTCACACAACACATGAACCCCTGACTACCTCTCCTTCCCTTTCTTCGTCGTTGTTCTTGCGTTATGGCACGCTGCCAGTTGTTTATTGATCGTGTTGAAATCATATGTATGCAGTACGTTGTAGTATACAGTGTACTATTTAGCGTACAGTTTTCCCATCCGTCCGCCTCCTTAACTTGATACTTGTCAATTATGTACTGTTAACTGCCGGTTTTCTCAAATTTTTCGCCATATATTACGGTAACTACCATTCAGTAAATAACCAGACAGATATTTTTTCGAAATTCCCATCTGACTTCTTGCATCAAGTCGTTGCATATATGGCACCAGTTTTAGTTAACTTTGCGGAGTGTAATGAAAAGAATCTTGTTTGCAGAATGACAAGTGTCTTTCAATAGTCTTCGCTGTTTTAAATGGAAATGTAACCCAAACTGCATAAGCGGACGAGGTTCAATTTTGCTGGCTCACCTTTACATTTACAACAACTGTCTGACCGCTGAAGCAGAAGCATTTTACAATAACTTTTCACCTCTGTTATTACTCATCTTGATTACTAATAGTATTTTCGCTAAGGATTTCTATCGATGTAAAACCACTTTTCCAACAAATCTCGGACTACGGAATATTGTAATCACACTCACCAGGCTTGAAACAACCTTGTCATCATTATCATTGCATGTTGACTGAAAGCAACTCGTAGTTACGCTGCCAAACTACATTCACTATGACGTTCACCAACAAGTTTGCATTGTTACTATATTACTGCCTACGCAATTTACTAACCACCTCTTTATGTTCTCTTGATTAGTTTTATTATTTTACAAATCTATAGTCGTGTGTGATAGCTGAATATTTATTCCCCTAGGTGTATAAAACTGCTTGTATGGATTATAAACGAGGTCAAATGAGTCGAGTAGTCACTTTTCAACGATATTGACTACTCCCTATCGTCTTACCACGACCCGGTGGCATCTATGCTGCTTTCCGTTTAAGTGTTACCGGATGAAGCATAAGGGATACATACATCGTCAGCAGGACCGTTAATTTCAAATCTTACACGAAACCCCATCAGGCCAACAAATTCATCACCTGATACAACGTTTTCATTCTTCTGTACCCGACACAGGTTACGCAGTTACAATAGCAACGCTTGCGGACGTTAAAGAAAATGTACTGGTACGTCTAATCCCTGCTGTGCTTACCCAATGAACAGAATATATACGGTTGTGACCAATGTTTATTCATTTTCGTATGCTGAGTCAAGCACGTAAAAAGGAAACAAATGAGGCAGAGTTAGTGCACATGCACTGCCTTTACTATGTGACGGCAGTAGTAAGTATATCGGGTCGTCGAACGGGCTACAAAGTTAATGTGTTTCCAGTTTGGCCACATGCCAGGTTACTCATTCGCCTCGAGTGTTTCGAAAGCTTAAAACATTAAGTCCCTTCAACCACTTCATTAACGCAGTAAGAAGACATAGGTTGTGATATGCTAACATTTCGATTGCTCTCGTCAGACGCTACGAAATACAGGCATAACAAAACACGCAATAAATAGGGTCCACACTTACAAAGGCAAGACTGGTCGCCGGCTGGCTCAAAAGGTGCCGGAACACTTCCCATTGTGGCTAAGGCAGTTGCTGTTTAACCAAGGTGGAGCGGACGAAAGAATGAACCGGAACCTTGCCTCGTCTATCACCAAATACCTCATGACGACTCGTCACCAGGTGAACCCAATCGATTCATTCAAGGTGCTATTGCGCAACAGGAACCCGACGTTGTTGGCAATTGACGAGGCGCTACTGATACGGTTGAATTGTCCCATGCTCTGTGCCCAGAAACAATTGAGGCAATCACTTAGATTGCCTTGGACCTGATTACGTCATTCCCATCAGTTTTATCTGCTTAGCTATGTTACTAAGTGGGGACCCTATTTATTACGTGCTTTGTTCTGCCTGTATTGCGTAGCGACTGACGAGAGCAATCGAAATGTTAACATATCGCAACCTATGTCTTCTTACTGCGTTAATGAAATGTTTCGAACTCATCAAAATAGGTCAATATGCCTTCTTGTGATTGTCGCAAACGCAAACACCTAACTTTATGTGGCTGGAACAAGGTTGAAGATGGGATTAATTGTCCTAATTTGTGCTACGTAACGTGATCAGTCCGAAGTTTCTGAGTGCAGCCGTTTTAATTTAGTAGCGGTTTTCCTCAATGTTGTCGAATGCTGGAGAATTTGACGTATACACTTTAGTCACATTTTCGCGAGCTATCTTTGTTCATTAGAAATGAACCAATGTCACCCACCGATTAGCGTTTGGCTATAGTAAATACCGGTCAACTCATAGGATTGTATGTTGCAGTTGAGAATGCTTTATGATAAAAGAAAGAGGAACATGTTCGCATTGTGTCCCCTTTGAGAACGATAAGAAGTCACTCAAAGTCGCAAGCTTCGCTGTGGAGACCACAAGTAGTGTCTTTGAGTTACCCGGTTATGATCCATCGAGTGCGTGAATATCTGCGATAGTAACTGTAACACTGAGCAATCTAACACTTTCTACCTAATGCCCGTATGTAAAAAATGTGTTTGATGTGTGTAATCCTCATGAACGACATCGATCGTCGAGCCGTACTCATGAGAAGGGGCATTGTGAAGTAATTATTTAAGAGTGTAAAGTACCAGCTTCAAAATCAGATAGTTCTTCACATATCCGGAAAAGCACTAGACTACAGTTTCAACCTTTTGGGCAGCATCATCAGTGCGCATCCAGCCATTCCACTAAGATTCGAATCCATGACCACCAGCGGCTTTCACTGCCAGTCAGCGGCTTATGGCGCTGGGCCACGAGGGACAGCTAACTGCGATATAATGCAACAAAAACTCAATCAAATACAATTTTGGCTTATTTATCGCTAAGAAGAGCAGGGTAGCATTCGGCTTATGAGGGGGTCTGTGTTGTTCCTTTAGGTCCTTCAGTTAGCACGTAGTGGTCTAATGCACGCTTTGTTGTGGCGACTTCGGCTAACTATAGGAGCATGGCCTAGTCGATTTTACTATCAAGTGGGTCTGTGTGTACCAGGCAAAGAAAGCATGCTGACACTAATTTTGAAATGAACAAATAAGGCGTAGTTCACCCACAAATCATTAGCCAAAACATGTACACTGCTTCGGAGTACTTGGTTCGTTGGAGAGTTTGTGGTACGTATACGTTGCAGTGGAGCCGAGCGGCATGTCGCCGTTTATAGGGCATGCTAGAACTCACCTACCGGACTATCCAACAAGAATCTTAATCACTTCATATGAGCTAAAGTTTCTGTTGCCTAGCTTCAACAGGCTAAACCGGGGAAAAACGTTTTCTAAAGGGGTGAAGGTGTCAGTGAAGAACACGTTGACCAACCAGCTAACTTACCAGATGCTAAGTCTGTCATTTATAGAGCGCTTTGTGGTAACACAGTAGAACTGCACATTTTACCACTTCAGTATTATGACAAACATGACGACAGCCTCTCATTAACAGAATATTTTACGTTGTTAATTCTTTCTTTGTTTATAAATCGACAATGTTCAATGTCAAATTAAGCTGCGCCCGGTATGCGTCAAAAAACATCTTGCGTTACTTCAGATCCATCCAGTTTGATTTGAATCGTTTAAGTTGTTCTGAAGAATTTTTTATTTGGAGTGATAATGGTATCGTCGATATACCATAAACAATGGCATGGATGGTCATGCTTTCCCAAAAAGTACGGCTACTGTATCCTGAACACAATGTTATCCAGCTGCCCTCTGTCTCCAAGAGAATGACAGCGCCTTCAATGGAATGCTCATACTTTACCGTCTTTCTACTCCATGAAGTTTCTATTGTACCTGTGCTATGAATTACGCCATTTCCGAAGTATGCAGGTAACCTATTAATCAGCTAATCGCAACTGTTTCTGAGTTACATTTTTTGGCATCAACACATTGGTGAGTGAATATTTATGGCGAAAGTCTTGATAAACAAGCCACACAGCGCAGTATGTGACTCCTATCACAAAAGCGTAGGGAACATTTGGAATGACCATGTTGATTCGTCGAAACAAGATCCAGCTCAGCAGGTACATATTTAGAAATGTAATAGATGACTATTTTCTGATTTAGAATCAGGCAGTTTTACAATGATCAAGTAACCATGCTTTTTCCCGGGATAAAAACAGGTATTGATACGTCCCGGAAGATTGTTGGAATGAAGACGATAAAAGCACCATACATGTGATTCATCTACTGAGCGTATACCGAGATGAATGCGCTGATAAATAATGTCAGTGTAAAATCAAATCAACTATAAGCATGCAGGAATACATGGGGTGCAGTGATCGTTTATGTAAAGCGTGAGCAAAGTAAAATATGGTCGCTCAATTTTGTGCCGTCTTCATGGGTCCACCTGACACATAAATCCTTCAGGAGGGCATGATTGGCGGAATCCAAAATAGGGCAATTTAGGTAACAAAGTGTTAGGATCTAAGAGCAACATCCAAGCGTTTTTTAATATCCAAAGTAAGAGAAGATACAAATGAGTCTGAGAGTGCGTTCTAGGGTTGGTGAACCCAAGGAAAAAGTAAGTACGTCGACAATCTAGACGGCTATATTGTTCCTTCAAGTTTAAGCAGTTGTCCCTGAGCTGTGTGTGGTGGCTAAGTTTCAGCAACTGGCGACATACATGGTTGGGGTCACTCAATATTTGGTACGCTAATATGAGATCTCCGCGCAGCCTTCGGTAGCGTCCGCTGAAAACTCCCAGCAACTTCAGCCTTCGGTGATAAGAGTAATAGCGCAGGCCATTTACATACTTTGTTGCTCTTCGTTGTGATTCCTCTAATGCATCTAGGTCCTCGTTTCAACCAAGGTTGCCAAGCGTAGATAACGTATTCAGCGTGTGGACGAACGTAGGAATTGTGCATCATTGGGAAGATTGATGGGTCAAATCTCTCGAATGCTCCTCGCAGCACACCGACGTGCTGGTTGCCTCTTTTCGAAGCCATCTCAGCCTGTTTTGAACAGTTGTGGTTGCTCTGTACGAGCACACCAAGGTCACATTCCTGGGATTTGGTCTGCAATCCGTGTGCCCCAAGCAAATACTTCTACTCATGTCTGTGGCGTACTTACACAGTGCGACATTTGTCCACGTTGAATGGTAGGGCGTTTTGAACTGACCAGTACGACATCGTGTTAAAATCGCACTGGAGCTGTTTATGATCATCCGGTCCTTTGGTGAGGACTTGGAAACACTTGGATGCAGATTTCATCACAGTAAAAATTGCCGAATGGTCTGCAGAACGAGAACGGGATACATCAGCCTGCTGGTATCAAATAAGGTTACTTAGCCCGTGCACTAGCCGTAGTAGCTGGTGACTGGTATCACAGGTGCGTTGGTATTCGTTCCTCTGTCGGACCGTCTGTTGATACTGTGTCTGGCTCTTAGCTGTATCGTATAGGACTGAACTGATTATATCCCAACGAAATGTAATAGATGAGCAAATTCTCATACTGATTACCGCCTTGCGTTTAAATGATTGACTGCTGTTTGTTGGTGACGTATAATCACCTAGCTTTTAAATGTATGTTTAGAGTTCCTGGGTTTTAAACTAGCTCCTTAGTTGAAATAGGCTTGCAGCTATCTTACAGTTCACACTTTCGGAAGGTTCTAAATACAAATCGGTTTTGTTTACTTTGCAGCGAGACTGGACCATTAATTTAGTGCGACACTTTATGTACCCACATGGCCTAATGATTTACGATGGACGCAACTCACAAGTTCTTTCAGAGCCAGTCATACCGGACAGGTCAATGGTTAGGGGTCAGACTAACTCATTCTCAACATCCAACCCTTTGTGGAAATTAGGGTGAGGTCGCTGACCCTGTTCCTTTTAAATCCTAGCCATGTGAGACAACAAGTCTACGGATTATAAGCTCACTGCTCGATAGGCATAGAGCACGAGCGCCGCACCTATTGTATCTGACGGTGGGAGAACACCTTCCGGGACTCAATGGTTTGCTACTGCCCGCCTCAAGCCAGGCAGCCCCTGGTCAAGTTGGTACAAACCTACCAACTCCGACCTGCGGCTGACCGTGGTCGAGGATACGTAACATAATACAGTCGTAAAACACGTGCACACTGTTCTAAGTCTTCAAAGTCT